GGAGTTCTCCATTAGGGTCCCAGCCCCACCAGGCCGACATCTGGTTGGAGGAGAACAACAAGAGCGCATTGGACGTCGCCCTGGAAGTCGCAGCAGAGAAGCCCGGATCTCTCGAGGTCCTGGTCGACCTTCACGAGCAGTACCAGGCCTGGGCACAGTTGCCTGTGTTTGGGAAGCTCGTCTCTTGCTCTAGACTATATTCCCAGAGGTAGGGCTCTAATTGGGGAGGGGGGGGAGTGAAGATGCTCATTTCCACGGCCACCTGTAATATGTCGCAAGCTGCTGCAGGACTACAAGAGCGATGCTGGTCGCGGCCTCAGCTGCAATGGTCTCCAAGCCGGATCCCGGACTTTGGTGAAGCAGCTCTGTGACGGAGACTCGTCTCGGTTCTCTCGTTTCCAGATTCTGGAGCTGGGGGGCAGTGATCCGCTGCGTCCAATGAAAAGCGCACATGTGGTGCGCAGATCAGCGGTTTTTGCTAGCAAAGATTCTTTTAGACACGGCTGGAGTGCATGGGATGCTTGCATGGTGTCGTTTGCATTCTCCGAGCCTCAGGCTTGACGTTCTTGATGTTGGCGGTGAAGCATGGCAATGCGAACCACATCAAGCAGCTCCTCGACAAAGGCATGGAGAAGGCAGATTTTGCAGATGGCCGAGGGTCCAATTCTCACCGGATCCTTACCATCTCTCCCTGCGACGCCCTGCAGCCAGGAAGCCAGATGCGTCGATGGCCCGGGCCCTGCAGGGATCCGGGATAATGGAGGCCGTGCATTCTCACTGCAGCAAGGACGTGCCGGGCAGAGCATATTCCGTAAACGTGCTGCTATCTGCTTCATTTGGGCAAAGGTTGGCGAGGGCACCGGCACATGTCAAGAGTTGATTCCACGTTCCGAGCCCAAGGCCGCACGGCTTTGATGCTCGCGGCCAGGGAGGGCAAGACGGCGTCTCTGAAACAGCTCCTGGATGGGGGCGCCGACAAGGCTCGGAACCTGAAGGAGCGTGCCATCGAGCAGAGCGGCGTGGCAATCCGGTTCGTAGGACTGCCAAGACAGCGAGGGCCGCGGCCTTGTGCCACGCTGCATTGAGCCGTGCCGTCCGTCGCAGTAAACCAGCGTGAGGAAAAAGCTCGCCGGAAAGCCCACCGCAGTGCTAGGCCACACCGCGCTGATGCTCGCCATGCAGGGCGGCCACGAGGAGTCCTTCAAACTGCTCCTTGACGCGGGCGCAAAGAGGGTGACCTGGCACAGATGGTGAGAGATGGTCCAGCCATGTTCTGAAGATGCCAAGTGGTTCTGAACCAAATCAATGACACCTTTCTGTAAGCCCTTGTGAGGGTTTGGCAGCCGAGAGCATTGCATCTCCTCCACCCAGTCACGCATCATGGCATGCCCCAGGGCCTGAAAAGCAGCGCTGGCCGGGGCCTCGAAGTGGTGATTCCGATCCGGCGTCTCCATCTCAAATTCCATCAACAGGCCTTGCCTGTGAAAATTCAAGCTAGCACTGTCACGGCATTACTCTCGACACATCTTTTGCCAAAGTTGAACTGAGCCAGACAAGAGGGATGTCGTGTTTGTTGGAGGTAAAACGGTGTTGGAGCTGTCCGCCGACAACGCGAAATTCCAGGCACTTCTGGGCCGCCGGAGCCTTGCTGGAGTGAGTTGTTGACAAGTCGAATTTGCCTTTTAGGTAGCCTTCATCCGTCATTGACGTTGCACACCGCGCACCAGCAGCCACCAACAAGTAGGCGAGATGCATTGTTGTGTCATGCATCCATATACACAAACACCAAGAAGTAGGCGAGTATGTATTGTTGTTTCATGCTTCCAGGAAGTATAAACAAAGCACGAGACTCGCAGAATGTGCGTGAGTTCAGTCATATACCGGTGGGTGCATATAGTCCGCGTGATCCGGCGGTTCGATGTGTCGAGGTTTGCCTGTAGCGGGCACATATGCGTCGGTGGACTCTGTGCGTTGCTGCTTGGGGCTTTGTGTTTAGGGTTTAGGGTTCTGAGGTCCGACAGCCCTCATGGAGGCGGCAAGGGACGGCCACACCTCGCACGTCAAAGAGCTCCTGAAGAAGGGCGCTGAGGAGGTGAGGGAGCCGGAGGGCACTGGAGTTGTTGGGTTTGTCTGACATCCTTACTCCGATGAGAACTCTAATTCAAGAGCTACAAGACATGTCAGCAATGTCGTCGCTGCCGAGGATTAATGTGGAAGCACCTACCGTGATAGTCACGAGTTCAGGGAGTTCCGATTTCTGTGTTTTGGTCACTATACGGAAGGTGGTGTCCGGACCGGTTTTGCATTTAGTTCATTAAGACAGAATCGTCGAACACTTGGGCCGAATCTTCGCTGCGCCCCTGCCCAGGACATCCAAGACAAGGATGGTCATGGCCTCGGCTGGCCAAAAACTTTGGGCGCTGCGAGGGTGTTGATGTCGGCAAGGGGCTACTAGAGAAAGTGTCAGGCAAGACTGCCCTCATGTGGGCGGCACAGACTGGCCATGCGGAGATCGCCAAAGAGTTGCTGGATCGCGGGGCGGAGAAGGCGGGTGAGACAAGGAAGACTCAGAGGCGCTATTTGGCGAGGTCAGGTCCGACGCAGGGCTCTGGATGTTAGAAGTTGCCGCATGGGAATAAAACACAAGCAATGCTGGGCTCCGCCAGACGTAACTCATAGTCGACTTGGCGATGTCAGCGAACTCCTAGATCGAATGCAGTGCCTTTGAGCACTGACTGTACATTGACAGTTGCTTGTGTTGCTTTTGCCCACTTGGTGGACTTTAAATATTCCCGAAGGGTGGATGTAATGTTGCTAATAGTGCTAGCACTGCAAGAAGACTTTGTAGTGCATTGTTTCTTCGCACCGGCTGTTGAGCTCGCATTGTTTCCTTCGTACACGCTGCACAAGACATGTTGGCAACTTCGATGTTGCGAAAGAGACTTGAATTGTTGCTGGCATGCACCTTCAGAAGGCGATGATTTGCAAGTATCCCATCGCACACTCGCAATGAAGCTCCACCCAGTCTGGGTGGATCACTCTTGCATGTTGGGCCCTTGGGGGCAGGATGTCACGGACAGCTTCGGCCATGGCCTTGGCAAGAGATAGCCTCGTCGGCATTTGGGCGCTGTTTCTTTCTGGCAGCAAGGCAACACCGCCCTGATGCATGCAGCACGGAATGGTCAAGCAGACTGTTTGGACGTCCTCTTGGTTGCCGGGGCGGACAAGGCGGGGGAGAGAGAGAGAGAGAGAGCGAGACTGAGTCTGCGAGCATCATCAAGCATGCTTATTCTAACGGCTTCGCGTCGTCCGCCTCGGCCCAATGGGGTACGGCCGGAGAGGCAGAACAGGGAAAGAGATGAGCCAAGAGTGGTGTGCGGCGGGCAGAAACCAACAAATACGGAAATACGAAATCCGGTGGAGAACATGACAGTGCACTCTTGGTGGCCGGTCAAGGGGGTTGCTAGGAAGGGAAGCAGGATTGCTTCGGCCACGGCCGATGCGGATATTGTCGAACTGACTTTGCGGCATCTCAAAGCGGGTCACATATAGAAGCATTCTCGCTGTCACGCAGATGCTGATGTTGTGCATGTCCTGGTCGGCAGCAACTTCGAGTTGATCAAGTTGGCCTGAATGCTAATTGCTGGCCCAAGGCGCCCGAGGCTACTAAAGGCCACCTAACCTTTCCAGCAAGGCAAGCCAGGAGGCTCCTGTTGGCAGGCAGAAAAGTCTGCGAAAAGCATCTTCGGGTTCAGAGGAGAGACAGTGACAAACAAATCTTTCGAGCGTGAAGCTCAACTGAATCTACGAGGGCTTACTCGGCTGATGAACACGACGCATCCTTTCTGACCGCAACGACGTGCAACGCGAACCCGATGCGCCATGCGTAGTGTCGGGCCAGGAGGCCGGTGACAGACTCGGCCAAGGACTTGGCAACAAGGCGCTCGTGTGGGCGCGGGTGTGGGCTCAGTGTTCTGTGCTCAGGCAACACCGCCCTGATGCTAGCTGCGCGACATGGCCAGTCTGACTCGCTGGGCACACTGCTGGCCGCAGGCGCCGAAAAGGCCACTGAACGCGTCAGAGCCTGCCGTCATGTATCGTGATGTGAGCTGACGGTCGGACATCGTACATTACATGTTCGCTCAACGGAACGACCAAGGGCGATCGTGTCTCTGACCTCGCCAGGAGACAAAAAATAAGCACGGCGAGAGCCTTGGTGGTTGAGTGTGTCGTCTGTTCCTCTTCTCAGACCGTCTTCGCGGTTGTCAAAGGTACGCTCATAGGCGTCAGGGACCTTCCGACGTCGTTCCCAACCTTTTTGCACCACCCCGTTTCAATTCTGAGGCTACACGGCTGTCATGCAGGCCACCGGCAGTGGCCACGAAAAGTGCGTGAAGCTCTTGCAGGACCAAGGAGCAAGCAAGGCCATCATCCGCCAGTCCTGCAGCAGTTGATGAGAGGCCTTTACACATACGGCTCGCCATTGGCACATGGTGGCAGGTAGCGATCAATCGGGAGGGCGAGGGTCCCGGCGCTCTACGGCTCGAGTGAGCTCATTGCCCCGACACCCACAGTCCTGAAGTGTCGTGAGCTTGGTCTATATCGGCGTGACTTTCGCCCAGGTGATGCGCACTGGATCCAAGCTGCGAAGGATGGCAATGCCGAAGTGCTCATCGACCTTCTTGATTCAGGTGCAAACAAGGTGGGAAAGCGGTTGCGGAAACATCGATTTGCATGAATGCTTTGCGAAGCCCTGCTCCGTGCAGATCATGTTCAAGATTTCAACTTCGCCATAGCAAGTTGCTGATTCGGCAATCCCTATCCTCTAGCCTTCAACAGCGAGCTTAATGCGAGTCCGTTTAGGAGGTCTGAGATCTGAGAAGGTCTGAGGCCGGGGTTGTGCCTTTCATTCGTAGGTTTAATTTGGACGGGTTCGCAATTCTTTTCGTCAGGAGGTCTCATGCTGGGAGGTGTTCGATGTTGAGGTTTTTGTTGTTAAGGAGCTCATGTGAATCAGGAGGCCCTCCTAACACTTTCGCGGGGACCCTCGAAGATTTGAGACTTTTCAAGGTTTTTGTGTCAGGGCCCAGGGCCGGTTTTTCAGGGTTATAAAACCGTAGGTCCTTAGATCTCGGCCACCGGATCAATCGTGTGAAGGTCGGGCATGTGCCGCACAATTCGTGTGCTCAGGGCTGGGACAGTTTCACCCTTCGGCGGCAATCAGCACAAAGCTGCAACTGCGCGGCATCCCTGCACAGGATGCGCAGGACGACGAATACGGCCGCAGCCTCGGGTGGATTTGACGCTTCGGTTCAGCGGCCTTAAGGTCTCACAGCGAGACTGCAGTCCAAGC